AACAACTAAGTAAATGGTGGAATGTTTATGTAATTTAATGCCATACAGCAAGGAGAAGGACCAAATACTGAAAGTTAAAATAATCTAGGTAACTAAAAAATATACTGTGCAAACCAAAACAGACATCACAAAAATGCACGCTGTATATTTCCTAGTTTTATATGGTAATCATTAGCACTACTTTCTGGTAGTAAAGTTTGGAAAGAATTTGACATTGATTGGGACTATAAATGTACTCGATAGAACTCTCCGGATTGGATAATGGGAAAAGTCTGTATGTTATTTAAGGTTGTATTTTCATGATGTATATAGTTGTCAAATTCTTCCATCATAACTGATCGTGTTTTTTGCATTTTATTTTTTGTAAGATAGTACTATAATTTTTTGTTTGTGTGTTTTTTGTTTCTTTGAGACAGAGTCTCCTTATAGCCCCATCTGGCCTGAAAGTCACTATGTAGACCAGGCTGGCCTCAATCTCACAGAGATCCACCTTACTCTGCCTACCGAGTGCTGGGATTAAATACATATGCCACTGTGCCCAGCAGATACACTGTAATTTAATCTCTAAAATAAGCTGTAGTGTGATAAGGACAAATTAGTGGTAAGGAATAGATTTTTTTTTTAAGTGTTGTTAGACAAATTAGCTACTTAGGAGAATAAAATTAGCTTAGGGCCTTCACTTCACACCTTCTGTCAGATACATTTTTAGTTGCCTTAGAATTTCGTGTGAAAAACTCAGAACAAAAATAGATATTTTTAAATTACCTATGTGGGACCAGCTTATATGGGTCACTGACACACTATACTGCTAAAATGTGTTAGGCCAAGCAACAGCCAAGATCACTCCAAACTTTCCCAGTATAGCACTGACCCCTTTAGTCTCAGTTGTTTTTGTTTGCTAGTTCGGATTTGTATGGTTGGTTGATTTGGGGTTAGAGGGAGGTTGTTTGCTTTTTTGGTTGCTTTTTGTTGTTGTTTTCTTTTGGGCTTCTTTGGGGTTTTTTGAGACAGGATCTCATCATGTAGCCCTGGCCTGGAACTCACTATGTAGACCGGGCCAGCCTCTTTAAAGGCATGCTACCATGTCTGGCATAAGCATTAAATGTTAATGCTACTGATATACACGGCCTTGCACTGTCTGAAATTTTCAAGATTTAAAATTGCCTGTCTGGTCTGCATAACAGGTTTAAGACCAGCTGGAGCTACAGGATGACCCTGTCTCGAAAAACAAAGAAAAAAATTAATACTTACTAATCTTCTGTAAGGAAATACCATGGAAATAGCAGAAAAAAACTTCAGGAGCAAGAGGCATACATTTAATTTTTTTTTCCAAAGCTCAACAAGATCTAAAAATTCTCGAACAAACATTTAAATACCTTCTTAGACAAAATTTAACAGCTTTCATACTTCAGCTTTATATCAAGAGTACCTAATAGCCTCAAAACAGAGCCCCATTCCCAATGTAGATGGTGGTCTTGTGGTGGTGGTGGTGGTGGTGGTGGTTGTAGTCATGGTGGTAGTTTTTGGTTTTTTGTTGCTTTGTTTTATGGATAAAACTTTTTCAGTGCCTAATTCTTAGAGCACTATCATAACTTAATTCCTGGTAATTCCTGTAATATCCTGTATACAAGACTGTCTGTATTTGGCCTCATCAGGATCTGCAGTGCAAAAGCTGTCTTCCCCAAGATAATTGTCAAAACAATAATAGGCACGTCTGGCTGCCTGAGACATTAGGCAAATTGGCAGACAGCAAACTAAACAAAAGACTAAAAAGAGCCAAACGTGATGACAGAGTCCTGTAATCCTAGCACTGACACTGAGGCAAGAGGATTGCCATGAGTTTGAGACCAGCCTCAGCTACATAGTAAGTTCCAAGTTAGGAACTTACTCTTACCTACTCCCTTCCCCTCCCCACTGGAATGTTCCCTGGACCTTGCCACAATGGATGTCTTTTTTTTTTTTTAAGACTGAGCTCAACCTTCTCTGATAAGATTTTCTTCCTAGTTACATGAATTGTGCAGTATTTTTCTTTTGAAATTAAAAAATTCTGCCACTGGAAGTCTCCTGTTTTCTAAAATCATAGGTAAGTCAATACTTTGTGTACACTTGAGTTGTAGGTAAACCTCTGCTTGAGTGTACTTCACTAGAGAGTACTGCAGTGGAGTGTAGCAGTGCTCCTGCACACAGTCGTGCTGCATTTGGTTATTGGCACCTTGAAGCCTGGGTGCCAGAACCAAAATTTGTAGTTTCCCATGAGTTACCAAGATAACATGATGTCATCTGTTCCACGGGGTTTCGAATTTCCCCCATTTCCTGTCTACCAACCCCATGTCACATTCTCCTCGGGCTACATAGTGAAATTCTGTCTCAAAACAAACCAAAAAAGAAATGACACAAATTTTCAAATGGTACATTACAGAATATCTACTTAGCACAAAAAGAGAAGTAGAAAAGACAGGGTGGAAAAAAAGAATGACATGAGCTGGAGCGATGGCTCAGCAGTTAAGAGCACTGGCTGTTCTTGTAGAGAACCCAGGTTCAGTTCCCAGCATCCACTTGATGGCTAACAACCATCCATAGCTACAGTTTCAGGGGATCTGACTCCCTCTTCTGGCCTGCATTGGCTACTGCATGCACATGGTGTACCTACATACATGCAGGCAAAACACTCATACACATAAAATAATAAAAGTTTTAATGGCATAAAGAAAACAGATGATGGCTCAGGCCTGTAATTGCAACACTAGGCAGGCTGAGGCAGGAGGATTTCCACAAGTTTGAAGCCACCCAGGCTACAGAGTAAGACTGTCTCAAGTTGCAGGGCCAGCAAGATAGCTGAGCCAGTACAAACCTGGTGACCTAAGGTCAATTCTTGGAACCTATATAAAACTGAAAGGAAAGAACCAACTCCACAAAATTATCCTCTTATGTCCATACATGCCCTGTGACAGATGCACACCCAGATTTATACACACACACACTCCCACAAATAATAGTAGAGGTTAAAATTTTAAAAACCAGGAGCAAATTAATGGCATAAATACATTCTGATAATTACATTAAATGTAAATGGATTAAGCACTTTAAAACACAAAGATTTACAAAGTCTGGCTATGTGCTATCTACAAGAAAGACATTTTAAATCCCGAGACACAAATAATATGAAAGAGACTTTAAGACATTCTTACTGCCTACGATCATTACACCCTTTATTTTCCTTATCGCAATTTTAAAGATCATTCCTCTTAGTAATGTTTAACAAAATGTTAATAGAGAGTATATGTTTATGTACTTAAATGATATTAGTTACATATACAGTTGTCCATATAGTTCTGCAAAGATATAAACCAAGAAATTAAAAGCCTAAACCTGACTAGATATATAGCAATTAAGGACACCAAATCACTATCAGAGGGACTGGAGGACAGTTTGGCATGCACAAAGTCATGATTTTTGATCCCAGCACCTCCCCCAAAAAGTAATTAAAAACTTACAGTAGAAAAGCCCAAGACCAGATGGTTTCACTGTGCATTCTGCCAAACGTTTAAAGAATTAACAAAATTTTGCCAATTGGAAGACATGTGAGGAACATTTTCCCAGCTCAAACCGTGAGGCCCAGTATTATTCTTATATAAAACAGGCAGACATGACAAGAAAACTACATTATCCTTTATTAGTATAAAATCCTCAACAAAACATCAGTGCAAGTCCCTTTATTTATAAAATGTCTCCTGCAGTGTTTACTGTCGACTGTGTTTTAATTGGTCCCTGTTCTGGTTTGCTTTCTGTTGCTGTGATAAAACACTGACCAAAGCTAACTTGTAAAGGAAACGGTTTGTTTGGCTTATAGTTCATCATCAAAGGAAGCCAAGGCAGGAACTGAAATGGAAACCACAGAGAGATGCTTCTTACTGGTTTGCTTCCCTCTAACTTGCTCAGCTGCCTTTCCTGTTATAGCCCAGGCCCCACCTGCCCAGAGGTGGCACCATCCACATCAAGTAGAAAGCAAGAAAATGCCCCCACAGACAGCCCCACAGGCCAATCTGAAGTAGTAGTTCCTCAGTTGAGACTCCCTCTTCCCACTTATGTCTGGGTTTGTGTCAGGTTGACTAAAACTTTGACAATCTCCAAAATCTGAACTATTTTGATGTGCCTAAATAATTGCTTTCCTATTACAGCCAAAAATGGAAGCCTTAGTCTGTGACAGGAAGAAAGAACAATGAAACTGAGTTGTGCTGGAGGATTAAAAATAAAGTTACTGGCCACACATGGAGATATGGTGGCACACGCCTTTAATCCGGGGGCAGGGGGTGAGCTAGTGAAGCAATGCTACAAGTACAATTTTCTTCCCATTGCAAAATGAATTATGCATAATAATGACGCTTTGATTAGATGGGTAGCCAGCCTTCTGAAATCATGTGTTCGTTTTCCCTAACTTGCCATTAAAAAAGGAGTTTTTTTTTAATATTTGTTCTTTTAGAGATTATTTTATGTGTATGTGTGTTCCTGAATATATATGTGCACCATATGAGGGCAAGTGCCCTCAGAGGTCAGAAGCGGGTGTTGGATCCCCTGGAATTGGAGCTTTTAGCCACTATGTGGGTTACTGAGAACTGAGCCTGAATCCTCCAGCAAGTGCTCATACCCACTGAGCCATCTCTCCAGCCCCCAACAAAGTTTTTTTTGTAAATCTAATTGTTTTAAGTAATTAAAATATTTTGGTTTACTATAATATAATTTTTTTCTTTTTTCATTTTGGAGACAGAGTCTCCCTGTAGCCCCAGCTGACTTGGAACTCACTATGTAGACCTAGGCTGGCCTCAGTCTCACAGAGATTCACCCAGCTTATTTTCTTGAGACAAGATCTCACTATGCAGCCCGCTGACAAAACAATATATTTTAATGGTAAAGGTACTGTAACTAATTTGTACCTATTTAGGTTATTGTGACTTCTAATTAGTTATTATTTTCTCCAGATTAATGCTTGATTTTATTTATAGGTAAACAGTGTTGACCTTAGAGCTGCCAGTCATGAACAAGCAGCAGCTGCTTTGAAAAATGCAGGCCAGGCTGTCACTATCATCGCACAATATCGACCTGAAGGTAATAAAAAATAAATGTTTTAAGATACCCCCACCTGTCCTGGAATTTTCTATGTAGACCAGGCTGGCCTCAGTCTCACAGAGATCTGTCCAATTCTGCCTCCCCAGTGCTGGGATTAAAGGTGTGTCACCACACCTAGTCGTAATACAATTCTTACCGCCTGTGGTTATTGTACCCTTTATTTTCCTTATTGCAATTTTAAATTTTTTTTAACTTTTTTGAGACAAGGTTTCGTGTATCTCTGGCTCACCTTGAAATCAGTATGAAGCCAAGCATGACCTTCAGCTTCCGCTCCTCCTTCCTCTGCTTCCCAAGTGTTGGCAATGTGGGTGTGTGCTGGGTTTATACAGTCCTGGGGATCAAACCCCAGACTTCTTGCATGCTAGGCAAATACTCTACCAACTGAACTATATCCCTAGCCCTTAATAATGTTTAAATTGTAACCTTAACTCTGATTTGTTAATCTAGTAAATTGTTTAGTCTAAACCAGTTCATTTTCTAGGTCAGAAGTGGTTTTTAGTACAATTAAGAACACTTCATCTGCCAGCTCTTTTGAATATTATACAGTTATTTGGATTTATTTTATAATTTGACATCTGACCTCTTACCTAACACATACATTTTAACATCCCTTCTACTACCTCATTGATCTGAAAGAGTCATGGAAACCATAGCAATAACAGTAATAAAGAAAATGAAGTTCAATCAAATTTTTTCTGTCTTTTGAACTCGATTTTATATATTGATACCGAGTTTATCATGTCTCTCATAGCCGTTATTGCTGTTTAAAATAGAAGAATGTGAAGTTTGGGGTGTACTGTATATCTACACAGTAGAAGAGTCATGGGCATAAGTTTACTAAATTCCAGGGAGGGAGGGTGATAATGGGAACTTTGAGGTAATGCCATATTAAACATACATAATCCTCTAGTGTGCATCAACATTACCACTTTACTAGTAAAACCTCAGGGGGAGTTGAGATGTTTAAACACCCAGAAGAATAGATAGGATACTTGTTGATGTTCGTGAACAACAGGATGAGGAAGGTAGAAATAATGAGACTGACAGAACTAAATTAAATGTTATAATTTAGACATTAAATGAACTATAATTTAGCAGCTAAAAGAAACAGTTATCAACCTTTACATTGCTATTCTTTTCCTAATTCAGCAAAATGTAACTTATTCAGTAATAGTAATTTAAAAGTAGCTAATAAAGTCAGCCATGCAAAGATATTAATAAGTAACAGCAGAGCTTAGCAACAGGTTATACACAAACAGTACTGACACAAGTCAAATGAAAATTTAACCTGCATTTCTTTAACAGTTTATGCTGTTCACTTTAAAAGAAGTAGAAAAATGGTGGGTAAAGCTGTCTCAGCAACCAGGAAAGACAGACATAGGGCTAACAAACCCCGAAGGGAGAAAAGCAAACCAGCCACTGTGAAAATCCAAGGCCGCCGCAGAAATTCTCTAGGGGCTACAACAGGAAAAATAAACAAAATAAAAATAGAAGAAAGCTAAAAGTATTAGAGCAACATTTCCAAAGGAAGTCGGTGTCTATGCAGCATGTGCGTAATAAGATTCTTTTTAAAGAACGTTTAAGAAAAAAAATAGAAAATTCAGTGCAATCACAAAAACCTTTTTGATAGGATTGTTGAAGTGGGGCAGATCAAGGATGGTCTTGACATTACTATGACTAGTGGCTTTTGCCAGGACCCAGCACACCCCCGTATGTAGTGGAGCCCTTCCAGCTCATACTGTCTTACCCACAGCGCCTGAGTTACCGGGAACTGCTGTTTCATTCTTTCACTCTGCTTGTAACTTGTTTTGTTTGGGGTTTTGCTCCTTTCTGTGGTTTCCATGAACGATCTTTTCAAATGGTACTTTTTTGGTCTGGTCATACTTAGTACTGTTCCAATCTTAATAAAAACCATTTTGATATGAAAGAAATTCTTTTTTGTTTGGTCATTCAAATAACTTCTATTTAGTACATGGACCTTTATGTGGATTTCTCTTGTGTGTGTTTCATATTTTCCAAAATTGCCCGTACACTAGGTTTGCGGATCCTAAAGTGAAAACGTCATTACACATTATCTTTCCTTGAGTGAGCATGTGCATACTATTTAAATTATTTCAGATACGTGTTAATATGTTTCCTGCAATGAGATACAATTCGGTACAGGAATTTCTGAAACGCTGAATGGAGAAAATTTCCAGTGTAATGAACACCCAGCTCTCTCCCAGTGTAGCTTTGCTGAAATGAGTTTGATGGAATTCCTTGGAGAAGGATGCAAATAACCAAAAAGGGAGACAGAATTCTCCCCAAAAATGAAATATAAGAAAACATATACAGGGTAGGTAAATGGTGGAAATTGATAGGAGAACAGGTATGAATTAATTAAAACAAAAGGACAAGATGGGAATCTTTTCTAGGTAAATGAAATAGAAAATTTTAAGGAAAAGTTACCTTTTGAGAAAAGTGTTGAAGTATGTTTGGTCATAAAGAAATCTTACAAGGATTTGGTTTGGGGTTGGGTTTTTTTGTTTGATGTTTTGGTTTTGTTTTATTTGTGTGTGTGTGTGTGTGTGTGTGTGTGTGTGTGTGTGCGCGCGCGCTTGTGTGTGTGTGTGTGTGTGTGTGTGTGTGTGTGTGTGCGCGCACGTGTGTGTGTGTGTGTGTGTGTGTTGCCTGCATATATATAAGTGCATTCGTATCATACAAGGCCAGAAGAGGGTGTCAGATCCCCAGGAGCTGGAGTTTCAGATGGTTGTTAGCTGTCATGTGGGTGTTGGGAACTGAACCCAGGTCCTCTGTAAAAGTAGCCAGTTCTCTTAACCACTGAGACATCTCTCCAACTCAGAAGGAATTGTTAATTTTAAGGACCATGATATAAAACAATGACAAAATAAATCACAAACTTGGGAAATTACTAGGAATTGATATAGATTCCCAATATTTTAAATGTTTAATATCTGAGACTGTAATTGCTTTATAATAACTTAGTCTTCTTAGGAAAGAGTGTTTTCATAAAATGTAAATATGTTCTTGGGACTGGAGAGATGGCTTAGCAGTTAAGAACAGTAGCTGCTCTTGCAGAAGACCTGGGTTCGAATCCCAGCACCCACATGGCAGATAACAACTGTCCATAAATCCAATTCCAGGGGATCCAACGCCCTCTTCTGTCCTCCACGGACATTGCATGACATGGGTGCACTTACATACATGCAGGCAATACACACATGTACATAAAAATAATAATTTTTTAATGTAATATGTTCTTTTTACAGAAATTTTTTAAATTTCTAAAATGCTAAATATTTTACCTTGCTTGGACTTCTAGTACTCAGATACACAAATCTGAAAAAACCTTATAATCCCAGCTGTTAGGAGATAGAAGCAGAGGAATCAGGAGTTCAAGACTGTCTCCACTACATAGTTTGAGACCTTCCTGAGCTACGTGTGACCCCCCATCTCAAAAAAAGAAAACCACACAATCAGTAAACAAAAGTATAGTAAAGGACAGTGGTAAAATATTTTAGAAACAAAGGTAATAAACATTGAAAACCTATCACTCAGACAGGGACAATACTAGGTTATATTGTAATATCCTGTGCCATAAAGTAAAGAAATCAGGAATGATAAAAATTGCATCGGAAAGATACAGAATCCAACCTGGAAGAATACTCACTAATCAGGAATAATTTCTACCTGAAAGAAATAGTACTAGCTAGTAACTCACTGAATAAATTTAGAAGTCATAAGTCCTTAGCATTAATTAATTGATTACTTAATTAAAAGTTTGATAAAAACAAAACATTAGACCGTCTAGATGGCTCAGCAGGTAAAGGTACTGGGAATCAAATCTAATGACCTGAGTTCAGTCCCTGGAACCTACATTGTAGAAGGAGAGAACCAGCTTCCACAAGTTGTCCTTTGTCCTCCGCACGAGGGCCATGTGCATGCATGTGCATACAGGGTCACCCTAAAAATAAGTTAGAAGATAATTTACATCACAATTGGCCTGTAATTCTCATCAGCGTTAAGAAAGTCAAAGAAAGACTAAGACACTGTTCTGACTGAAAAGGACTAAAAGGATAGAACAGCTAAGCTATGTCTGGTGGTACTTACCTGTAGTTCCAGCACCATGGAGAAAGAGGCAGGAGAATCACGAGTTCAAGGCCAGCCTGGGCTACATAGTGAGCCGTTGTCTCATAACAAAACAAAACGAACAAAAAGAATAAATATAGGAGTTAGAAATGATAAAGAAATGTTAAAGACTAATTTGTATATAGTAGAAATCTATTAGGAAGAAAAACAAAACAGTGGCCAGCTGAGGCTATAGGGAGACCCTGTGAGTGAGTGAGTGAGGGAGGGAGTGAGGGAGTGAGTGAGGAGTGAGTGAGTGAGCGAGTGAGGAGTGAGCGAGTGAGGGAGTGAGTGAGGAGTGAGTGAGTGAGGAGTGAGGGAGTGAGTGAGTGAGGAGTGAGTGAGGACTGAGTGAGCGAGTGAAGGAGGAGTGAGGAGTGAGTGAGTGAGTGAGAAGTGAGTGAGGAGTGAGTGAGTGAGTGTGGAGTGAGTGAGGAGTGAGTGAGGAGTGAGGGAGGAGGGAGTGAGGAGTGAGGGAGGAGTGAGTGAGGGAGGGAGGGAGTGAGGAGGAAGTGAGTGAGTGAGGGAGGAGTGAGTGAGTGAGGAGGGAGTGAGGGAGGAGTGAGTGAGGGAGTGAGGAGGGAGTGAGGAGTGAGTGAGGGAGGAGTGAGTGAGTGAGTGAGGAGGGAGGGAGTGAGGAGTGAGGGAGGAGTGAGTGAGTGAGGAGTGAGTGAGCAGGGAGGGAGTGAGTGAGTGAGGAGTGAGGGAGGAGGGAGTGAGGGAGGAGGGAGTGAGGAGGAAGGGAGTGAGGAGTGAGGGAGTGAGGAGTGAGTGAGTGAGGAGTGAGTGAGGGAGGAGGGAGTGAGGAGTGAGGGAGGAGTGAGTGAGGGAGGGAGGAGTCAGTGAGGGAG